ATAACAATAATAATAATAATAATAACAATAACAATATCAGTAATAACAATAATAACCCCATGTCATTGACTCAGCTTTATCCCATCCAATAAATAACCTCTATTCCTCTTCCATCTCTTACCCTTCCTTTATATTCAGTTTATTCCATGCCTAACATCCCCGTCCCTTCTTTTCCCTTCCGTTTCTGTTTCATCAGCTTCCAGCATTCAATAGCCGCTATTCTCTCCTCCTGTCCATCTCTTTCCCTTCCCCCTATTTCCCCTCCCCTTCCCCCTCGCCCCCTCCATGTTTACAGATAATTAGAGCCTGGAAGAGACATCCCCATTACTTACGGTAGGTTTCTCTCCAGACGGCCGCCTGTCTCACACAGCTGGGATATTTGAGACATTTAGAACGTCAATTTGCTGTGAAAATAAGTAAAGTGTCCGATTTAAACACTAATATATACGTGGAGAGATCGTAGACTCCGCCCCGTTTTGCCTGGCGTCCTGTGCGTGTCGTCTGCATCTCACGCAATGGATGTAAATAAGGGCAGCCATTTTGACTCATTGTTTGTAAAATGTAGTAGGTGCGTAAATGGTGTATATTACGGGACTTGAGATACAAAGCGTAATAGCGTGGTACAGTGTCTTTGATATACGATAAAACGCTCGCACAAAACACTATGAGTCAGCGATGTGTTCAGTGTCGTGATATCTGGACACTGGTTTATGAGTGGTGTGAGCAGCGACCACCGCATCCTCACTCTATACACTCGTCCATTGAGCGAGTATGAAAATATTATGCTCTTGGCTCATGGACAACGCGGGTCATCTAGTCGATCCAGCTGTGAATGGGTACCTAACTTTAACTGGGGAAATAATATCAGTCGAGTACAGTGCCGAAGTGTGCTGTATCCGGACTGCCACAAACGAGACCCACTGTACTTCATCAGTGTCTTTTAATAAGCACAAATACTGCACTATAAAGACGCACATTTATTAAAAAGTGCAAAAGTAACCATAAACAGAAGCGGGATTGATAAGAATAAAAATAGTTATATTCCAGTTCGTACATTAATATTTTAAGAGTCTAACAACAAACTAAATCAAATTATGCAAATACCTACCTGAGCCACACAAACGCTCGTAAAACAAACAGCAGCAAATATAATCGTAACCCGACCTCGTCACAAACTGGTACAATTCTGCTCACATCTCGGTGTGGTCAGGTTGTGGGAGAGGGGGGAGGGGCAGGGGGAAGGGGAGGCGGAAAGAACCATGAACACCACATTCAGGTGGGATGCGGCCAGCTAACCTGCAGCACTGATTAACACCTGAAAGACTACAACTTTTACAGAGGAAAGTTGTGAAAAACTAAGTTGTAACCGTGTTGATGTGTGACTGCCTGGCTGACTGACTGACTGGCTGGTTGGCTGGCTGGCTGACTGACTGGTTTGCTGGTTGACTGGCTGATTAACTGGTTGGCTGATTGACTGGTTACACACGGCACACGACAACAAGTGTAACCAGGCAACTCATTACACTATTTTACAATGACAGGAAGGGCATGACAATTTAACCTTTTGGGAAAATTTATTTATTTGTTGTTGCTGCTATTGTTGTTGTTGTTTATATTCATTTCTGTGCTTTAACTAGTAAGGTCTTTCAGCACGTGTTCTGGGCCAGGTCACACACAACACAACAGCTAGTGAAAATATTACGGAAATAGATTCTCTGTTCATGGTTGCTTTTGTCGTCGCCTTTGTTTTCGGTGGGGCTGGCTGGCTGGTTGGTTGGTTGCTTGCTTGCTTGGTTAATTAATTGGTTGCTTGCTTGGGTGCCTGTTTGTTTGCTTGGTTGAATGAGGTTACGCCACAGAACGTCAAATCTACGGTACGAGACGATGGTCCTAATCAACAGCTGAAGACTTGAGTTCATAAGGACAAAACGTGGAGGAAAAAAGAAAATAAATTTCCCTGATGCGATCACCTCCTCCTACCCCTCCCTCCTCTTCCCTCGTATTGTGTGAGGACTGACTCACTGTGTGTTGCGGCAAAGGTGCGTCATTGATCAAAGCAACGGAGGAGGAGAAAGAAGAGGGGTAGGAGATGGAAAAGGGGGAGGAGGAGGAGGAGGAAAAGGAAGAAAAGAAGAAAAAGAAAAGGAGGAGGTGGAGAATGAGAAAGATGTGGAGAAGAAGATAAAGAATGAGGAGAAGGAGAGTTATTCTTTTGAGGAAAATTTATTTATTCATTTATTCATTTATTTATTCATTTATTGTGATTGTGACCGTCTTGACGCATGGCTGTCGAACACTGGCGAGGGAGACAGGGAGAGGAAAGAAGAGGGAGATTGACAAACAACTCAGACCTGACGTCGCTGCAACAACACGCATCATCAACAGTTGCAAACAAAGACACCCTCAAATATAGATGAGTTCGTGTGTGTGTGTGTGTGTGTGTGTGTGTGTGTGTGTTGTTGTTGTTGTTGTTGTTGTTGTTGTCGTTGTTATTATTGTTGTTGTGGCATTCGTTCTTGTCTGATGCAGGAGATGAGAGAAAAGTTGTAATAATTATAACAGTTGTGGATCATAAATTATAACAGTCGTAGAAGGTAAGTTGAAGATGAAAACTGTTGTAATATTTGTAAGTTGTAACAATTGCTGGTTGTAAGCTGTAACGGTTGTACACGAAACATCTGAAAGGGATCTTATTTTTTCACATCCTTGTTTCATCTGGGTGCTGGAGTAGCGGTAGTACCCGGGGACTTGGTGAACACTGGCTGTGGTGGCTGTGGTGGCTGTGGTGGATGTGGTGGCTGTGTTGGCTGTGGTGGCTGTGTTAGCTGTGTTGGGTAATATGCCTTTAAAAACTCGGCTAATTCAGTAGTGTGAACTTACCATGCATAAATAACACAGCGGCCGTAATGATATTTATGGTAATTAATGCATGATACAGGAGGTGAGTCCGGATGATGGATGATAATAGAGTGAGTCCGGATGATGGATGATAATAGAGTGAGTCCGGATGATGGATGATGATAGAGTGAGTCCGGATGATGGATGATAATAGAGTGAGTCCGGATGATGGATGATGATAGAGTGAGTCCGGATGATGGATGATGATAGAGTGAGTCCGGATGATGGATGATGATAGAGTGAGTCCGGATGATGAATGATAGAGTGAGTCCGGATGATGAATGATAAGAGTGAGTCCGATGATGGATGATGATAGAGTGAGTCCGGATGATGGATGATGATAGAGTGAGTCCAGATGATGAATGATATTAGAGTGAGTCCGGATGATGGATGATGATAGAGTGAGTCCGGATGATGGATGATGATAGAGTGAGTCCGGATGATGGATGATGATAGAGTGAGTCCGGATGATGGATGATGATAGATTGAGTCCGGATGATGAATGATAATAGAGTGAGTCCGGATGATGAATGATAATAGAGTGAGTCCGGATGATGGATGATGATAGAGTGAGTCCGGATGATGGATGATGATAGAGAGAGTCCAGATGATGAATGATATTAGAGTGAGTCCGGATGATGAATGATAATAGAGTGAGTCCGGATGATGGATGATGATAGAGTGAGTCCGGATGATGGATGATGATTGAGTCCGGATGATGAATGATGATGTAGTGAATGATGAATGATGATACAGTGAGTCCGGATGATGAATGATGATGTAGTGAATGATGAATGATGAGACAGTGAGTCCGGATGATGAATGTTGATAATTATTTTACAGATTTTAGATTGTCAATGTTTCTTTTGTGTTGTTGTAGTTGTTTTTGTTTCTGCTGTTGTAATTGCTTTTGTTATTTGTTATTGTGGATAGTTGTATTAGTTGTTACTGTTGTTGTTATAATTGTTGTTACTTGTTCTTATTGTTGTTATTCTTGTTGTTTTACTTGCACTTGTTGTTCTTACTTGTTACTGTTTTTTTTTTTAATAATTTTTATAGTTGTTATTCTAGTCACCTAATGTTGTTGTATTTGTAGTTGTTATTGGTGTAGTTGGCCATTACATCAAACTGGTTCATTAAAGATACACAGATGGACTACACAAAGTCTCCTAAAGCTACGACACAAAGACGGCGGCTTTAATGGCGTCAGAACTCCACAGAGATTCGACCATAATTGGATGTGTTCTCTTATACTCTGCTAATAGTTAGAACAACTGATGGGTGTTATGGGAATCATGTTACAGAGGTTGGTGGTATCGCGTCACACCTGGAGAGAGTTAAGAATGAGAGAGACGCCGGAGAAGGATGGAAGATGATAAGAGGGAAGGAAGACGATAAGAGAAGGATGATAAGAGGGAAGGAAGATAAGAGAAGGATGGTAAGAGGGAAGGAAGACGATAAGAGAAGGATGGTAAGAGGGAAGGAAGACAATAAGAGAAGGATGGTAAGGGGTAAGGAAAACGATAAGAGAAGGATGGTAAGGGGTAAGGAAGACGATAAGAGAAGAATGGTAAGAGGGAAGGAAGACGGCAAGAGAAGGATAATGAGAGATAAGGAAGACAGTAAGACGAGGATAATGAGAGATAAGGAAGACGGTAAGAGACGGAGGTAAGAAAGGAAAGACGGAAAAATTTGGAGTTATGTTGATAAACAAAGTTAATGGGTCGTGACGTCACACTACGTTAGTAAACACAGCCGGTGATCATGACGTCACACAAGGTTAGTAAATTTACGACAATATATAAAGAAAAAAAAAGAATTTGCTACAAATCTCCACAATCTTGAAAGGGATATAAATATTACATGGAGAGAGAGAGAGAGAGAGAGAGAGAGAGAGAGAGAGAGAGAGAGAGAGAGAGAGAGGGATATAAATATTACATGGAGAGAGAGAGCAACGAGCGAAAAGAGTGAACGGAGAGGGAAACAGAAAGAGAGAAAGAAAAGATAATAACACAGGGAGGGAGAGAGAGAGAGTAGCAAATTCACCCAGTAACACACACACCAGCCACAGACGCCCATAGAACCCCACCCACCCAACCCACCTTTAGATGCTCCTATAAGAGCATTGAGTCCCGTCACCCATATATTGGCCTCCTCCGGTGAGTGAGCTATGAGGTCCAGGCTGTCGTAGGAGTCCCCGTACAAGATGCTGAAGATCCTCTCCTCGTTGTAGGAACTCGGGAAGTCCTTATTGCGGAGACTCTCACAGTTCTTGCCCGTTCGTATCTCCTTGATCTGTTCGATGAGTACTGTTGGGGAAAGAGAGAGAATGGTTAGTACTGTTGGAGAGAGAGAGAGAGAGAATGGTTAGTACTGTTGAAGAGAGAGAGAGAGAGAATGGCTAGTACTGTTGGAGAGAGTGAAAGAGAGAGAGGTGATTAAGATGCTTCCACGGTAATGGTACAGAGACGCTACACCATCTACAGTAGTTAGTGGTGAAGAGGAGGAGGAGGAGGAAAAGGGGAAGAAGATGGAGAAGAAGAAGAAGAAGAAGAAGAAGAAGAAGAAGAAGAAGAAGAAGAAGAAGAAGAAGAAGAAGAAGAAGAAGAAGAAGAAGAAGAAGAAGAAGAAGAAGAAGAAGAAGAAGAAGAAGAAGAAAGAACGGAAGAGGAGGAGAAGAAGAGAGGGAAAAAGAAAAAGAGGAAGTGTAGAGATCTAAGAGAGAAGATAGTTGCTGTTGGTTTAGTTCTTGGTTGCATCAGTCAGCCCGATTCCCGCCGCTCCTGACTTGACTGACTGACGTATCCAGCTATGATAACTTCCCGAGCCTCTCTCTCTCTCTCTCTCTCTCTCTCTCTCTCTCTCTCTGTCTCTCTCTCTTTCTCAAAAACCTTTCCATCACAGAGCTAAACTATTTCCAGAGTTCCAAGAAACTTATTTCTGTGTGATCTTTAATAAAACCACTGCTGCTTTTATCGCTCGTTGGCTGACACTCACACAGGTGGTATACGACAGCTGACACCCACACAGCTGGTACACTAAACAGCTGACACCCACACAGCTGGTACACTAAACAGATAACACCCACACAGCTGGTACACTAAACAGCTGATACCACACAACTGGTACACTAAACAGCTGATACCCACACAGCTGGTACACTAAACAGAACACCCACACAGCTGGTACTAAACAGCTGATACCACACAGCTGGTACACTAAACAGATAACACCCACACACTGGTTACTAAACAGCTGACACCCACACAGCTGGTACACTAAACAGCTGACACCCACACAGCTGGTACACTAAACAGATAACACCCACACAGCTGGTACACTAAACTGCTGATACCCACACAGCTGGTACACTAAACAGCTGATACCCACACAGCTGGTACACTAAACAGATAACACCCACACAGCTGGTACACTAAACAGATAACACCCACACAGCTGGTACACTAAACAGATAACACCCACACAGCTGGTACACTAAACAGCTAATACCCACACAGCTGGTACACTAAACAGCTGACACCCACACAGCTGGTACACTAAACAGCTGACACCCACACAGCTGGTACACTAAACAGCTCTCATCCCGTCAGCTGAGAGTTAGTTATTATATTTGGATTATTTTTTTAATTAATCTTATTGGTATATTTACTTTATTATTATTATTATTATTATTATTATTATTATTATTATTATTATTATTATTATTATTATTATTATTATTATTATTATTATTATTATTATTGTTATTATTATTATTAATGGTATTGTTATTGTTGTTATTATTACTACAGGAAGCAGGTAAAGGTCCATTAGCCAGAACCCTGCCAAGGTACTCTGGAGAAGGTCACCCTTGATGTCACTAACACCTTCAGATTCTCAAAGATACTTACTGTACGACAACTTTCCCCTCTCCTCCCTTCTCTCTCCCCTCCCCTATCCCCTCTCCTCCCCTTCCCCCACCCCCTCTCCCCCCCCACCCACCGAATACCGGGGGACGTGAGGAAGCTTCTTTAATTGGTTCGTTTAAATTAGGTCATATAAAGTGAGGCTCAAATGTTATGTTGTTTTGTTTATTTTTTCGGATCATATAGACTCTAGAGAATAGTTTATATCTCCTGATGAGTAAAAAACTTAACCTAACCTAACCTAACCTAACCTAACCTAACTTAACCTAACCTAACCTAACCTAACCTAACCTAACCTAACCTAACCTAACCTAACCTAACCTAACCAAATATAACATGAGCTATGCTAAACTAACTTAGCCCCTCAGGTAGAGTTGGAGTGTTTAATTATCAGGTGATATAAGCTGGGAGTCTAATCTTCATGTTGACGTAAGAGTCTTTGAGAATGAGGACTTTACAGACGTCCTGTGTGTGTGTGTAATGTGTGTGTGTGTGTGTGTGTGTGTGTGTGTGTGTGTGTGTGTGTGTGTGTGTGTGTGTGTGTGTGTATGTGTGTGTGTGTGTGTGTGTGTGTGCTTGCTTATATCATGGGATCATATGGGGTAAATTATCAACAGGATATGGAAGTTCTCAGAGGAAACGTAAGGGAGGAGTGATATAGTGGTGTATCCTAGAAGCACAGAGAGAGAGAGAGACGTCACCCCACCAGTTAAATAAGGTGAGTAAATGGGTAAACATCCTCCGTGGAGTGAAGGCAACGATAAGAATGAATTTACAGACTTAATATGTTAACTTTCAGTCCAATGATGTTAACTTACTGACTTGTAATGTTAACTTATAAACTTGAAATATTAACTTTAAGACTTAAATGTTAACTTGGATTAAATGTCAACTAACTGAGCAAGGATCTTAGTCATGTGAAGGGCAAAGAGCCACCCCATGCTAAAACTAACGACCTGTTTAACATAGCATTATACCCAACGTCATAACCAGGTCAAGTGGCCATACCCGGGTGACCTGAGGCTACCATCAACACCCACCACGACCCTCCCAGCACCGTGACCCAACCAGTGATGTAAAAGGTTAAGTGAGAACAGTAGGTCAGGCTTGCATCTCTCCCTCCTCCCCCTCCCTTCCCCTTCACCTTCCCCCTCCTCCTCCCACCTTCCCACCTCCCCCTCCCCTCCTCCTCCTCCCACCCACCTCCCCTCCCCCTCCCACCTTCCCACCTCCCCTCCCTAGAGCAAAACAACGAGAGTGACATTTACCAATGTATATGACATTAATCAGAAGGCATTTATCTTTATGTTCAAGCACGCTCGTTCTTTTGATAATGAAACACACGAATAGGATGAGCCTTGATTAGGTTAGGTAGGGTAGGAGTAGGAGTAGGAGGTAGAGGCAAGGCCAAAGTAAGGTTAAGAAATGAGGGTAGGGTAGGGTAGGTCGAAGGTAAGGCAAGGTGGGGGTAAGGGTGGAGTTAAAGAATGGGGTAGGGTGGGGTATTAAGTTAGGGTAGGTTAAGTAGGGTGGGGTAGGGTAGGGGTAGGAGTAGGGTAGGGTAGGGTAGGAGTAGGGTAGAGGCTAGGGTTGGGTTGGGTTAGGTAGGGTAGGGGTGTTGGGGTAGGGTAGGGTAGGGTAGGGTAAGGTAAGGTAAGGTAGGGTAGGGTAGGGTAGGGTAGGGTTGATTTTGATTTTGCCGCTTACAGCGGCTACTTTATTGTGCACCCCGCACGCATCCTGTGAGCGGTAGCGCAAAAGGATTACAGAGTAGAGTTTACAAAGGGTCATAATAATAGGGTTGGGTTGGGTAGGATAGGATAGGATAGGGTAGGGTAGGGTAGGGTAGGGTAGGGTAGGGTAGGGTAGGGTTGGGTTGGTGTTGGGTTAATTTCATCCTCTTCAAATCATCCATAAATTCTCTATCTCTCGTTCTCTAAACTTCTTCGTCTTTTATGAGCATTTTCCCATCTTTCTTACCTCTTTCCAGAACGGTTTGTTATTATCTTCTTTATCATTCATCCTTTCACCTAAAATCTTCATTCACTTTTATTTCTCTCACATTTTCTCCCTTTTGTTGTCCAGTGTCTTCCACTTCTCACTAATCACAGGTAAAATTATCGCTTATTTCCTTATACACGTCTTTTATTCCACTCTTCATTCACTAGGCCTTATACCACTCTTTCCATATCGTATATATCTGTTACCACACACCTGTTTTGGCAACCTATAGTATTGCATTGTTAATAATAATAATATTATTATTAATAAGGATACTACTAATAATAATAATAACAAACATTAAAAATTACACTACTACTACTACTACTACTACTACTACTACTACTACTACTACTACTACTACTACTACTAATATCAATAATAATAATAATAATAATGACGATAAAAGCTTCCCAGATTTACACTACCCACCAGCCTGACTCCACATGAGTGAATGTACAGAGGAGACGTAGCCAGCCGCCTCCACCCTCCAGGGAACTGCCTCACAAACTCAGTATTTTTACATTTTTCACTTTGCGAGACCTTTATTCATTTTCCTGTTCCAGTTTGGATGAATAAGTTTGAGAATGTCAAGTGGGGAAAATTATTCATATGATGTGAAGGATTAATTTATATAATTAGAATGTGTATAATTATTTGTCTGATTTGAACAATTATACCGATCGCTTTTTTTTACATAATTGGTGATAATCTCTTTAGGGTAGAAATAGAAGGTATATGATATAGATAGGAGAGGTATTATATGTAGTGTGTGTGTGTGTGTGTGTGTGTGTGTGTGTGTGTGTGTGTGTGTGTGTGTGTGTGTGTGTGTGTGTGTGTGTGTGTGTGTGTGTGTGTGTGTGTGTGTGTGTTTCTACCTTTAATACTTTTCTATACCTGCATATCTCTCTCTCTCTGTATATATATGTAAAAATTGTGAGAGACTTAACAAAATAAAAGAAAATTTCTAGGATGTTTTCCCTTAGCGATGAAACAAGGAGGAGTGGTGGGCGGAGGTACAGTCAATCTCATACCCGTCTTGCAGCCAGGAAGGAGGAAGAAGGAAGACGATGAGGGTGGAGGAGGAGGAGGAGGGTGGTGATGGAGAAGAGAAGGTGGAGGAAGAGAAGGGGTTGTGGTGATGGGAGGAGGAGGAGGAGAAGGAGAAGGTGGAGAAGAAGGGGGTTGGGTTGTGGTGATGGAGGAGGAGGAGGAGGAGGTGGTGATGGAGAAGGTGGAGGAAGAAGGGGGTTGTGGTGATGGAGGAGGGAGGGAGGAGGAGGAGGAGGAGGAGAAGGAGGAGGAGGAGAAGGAGGGAGGAGGGAGGGAGGAGGATGGAGTGGTGATGGAGGAAGAGGAGAAGGAGAAGGTGGAGAAAGAAG